GGCTTGGGGAGCTGTCTCCCCTGGAGGCTCAGAGCTCTGTCACTCTCCAGGGAGCAGTCAGCTCTGGGCTCATTTCTGGGGGGTCTGCAGACGTCTCCTGTGAGAGTCTTGTCCACCTCCTTCCCCTCGCCATAGCACCTGGCCTCCTGGATGGCCCAGCTGGGTCTCATGCCCACAAACCAGGCATCTCTGCCCCTAAACCTGAGCACTACTGAGTTTCCCAATCTGGGGATGACCCTAATATCCACCAACTGCCCCTCCAAAGTCACGTACTTCCCTGGACTCCGCTCCCGCATCCCCCATGCCCAGCCAGTCACCTGGTTCTGTCCACTCCACCTCCTCCAATTCCCTGTCCCAGATGTTCCTATGCCCTCAGCTCCTGCCCTGGTCCAGGTCCCCTCATCTGCCTCTAAATCACTTCAACTGTCTCCCCACTGGCTCCCTATACTGCCCCCTAGTGATGTCAACCCATTCTCCAGTGAGCAGCCGAGGGCCTTTCCTAAAAGCAGAGGAGATCAGAACACCGTCCAGCTTAAACCCCTCCTGGGCTACCAAGGCCTCAGGGGGAGACCTAGCTTGTCCACAAGGCCTAAGGCACCCTCAGTCTCCCCAGCTCCAGCCTCACCCTCCACCCCTACTTTGTTCTGTCTGCCTGCCTTGGCCTCCTTTCATCTCCCCTAACACACCTTGATCTCCCTCGAGTACAGACTTAGCACATGCTATTCCCTCCCCTGGGACTCCTCTACCCAACCTGACTTTGGCTGAGCTTAGAAATCACCTCCTCCAGGAAGCCTTCTGTCTACCCTGCCCCCAGCTGGGCTTCTAGCGTCTGGCCTCCCCCATCACAGCCCACACCGCTGGGCTGGACATTTGGGTAATAAGTGAAGGAAGGAGTTCTTGGCTTTAATCCCCCATAGGTCTCTGCTTCCCTTATTTCATGACTATTTGGTGACCTCAGTGCAAACTACAGGGACCAAGAGGAAAGAGGCGTATATCTTTTTCTTTATGGTACCCATTACAGTTTGTAATACCTGCCTTGTGAGTTTGTTTCCCCCAAGAGACTATAAGCTCCCTGAAGCACAGACCATACCCACCAGGTTCACGGCTGTATCTCCTAGCCTGAGGTAGAGATTCTATAAAACCAAACCAAACCCAATGCCGTACAGTTGATTCCAACTCATAGTGACCCTACAGGACAGAGTAGAACTGCCATATCAGGTTTCCAAGGCTGTAAATCTTTACGGAAGCAGGCTGCCACATCTTCCTTCTGCAGAGTAGCTCGTCGGTTCCAACTGCTGACCTTTTGGTTAGCAGCTGAGTGCTTTAAGCACTGTGCCACCTGGGCTCCTCAGGGACTCTATAAAAACCAAACCAAACCCGTTGCCGTTGAGTCAGTTCTGACTCATAGTGACCCTATAGGACAGAGTAGAACTGCCCCAGATGCTTTCCATGGAGCGGCCTGTGGATTTAAACTGCCAACCTTTTGGTTAGCAGCTGAGCTCTTAACCACTGCGCCAAGGAGTCTATAGGACTCTATAAATAGTCGAGTGAATTAAATGTAGCAGGGATTTAGGGTAGACATCAGGAAGAACTTCCCAATGAGAAAAAAAATTCTTTTTTTCCTTTCTGAAATGTTTTTAGAAGTTTCAAACGTATCAGAGAACACACTGCTTGGGATGGGTGGTCTTGGACCACTAAAGTCGACTTCCTGTAGGTCGCTTGGATTGAGGTCTGCTCAGAAACATGGCGGCTCTGGAGAAGGTGTTTACAGGATGACTTCCTGCCCCGTACTCGGGGACTAGAAGAATCATGTCTATTTCTAGAGACTTTCATCTAAGCAACTCCAAACTCCTGGCAAATATCACTTCGCTGTCTTCTCCCTGCCCCAAGGGTGTGACAGCCCCTTCCTTCTCAGGTGGATAAGGAACACTCTAATGAAGTCAGGCAACTTGTCCAAGGTCACCCAGCAAAGGAGCAGCTGAGGCTGGACAGGGTGGGGAAGAACGAGGTGGTTCCTGAGAGTGGCAGCACTTGGATGCAGTCCCTTCTTTGGCAGTGGCGCTGTGAGTGCCCGGAGAACCACGCAGCCCTGATGCCAGAGCCTCTCCTTGCCAATTACATAACGCAGGCTGGACTGAGAAAGGACAGCCAGCCTCCTTCCCTCATCTTCCTACATTTTCACACAGAAGCACAGGGCCCGGCTCCAGCTCTCTTAGCCTTGGTTTCCTCATCTGCTAAATGGGTTAATCATCCCACCACCAACCTTCCAGAGTAGTTGTGACTAAGAAATGACAAATGTGGATGTGTGGCCAACTGGTGTGCAGAGTGGGGCATTGGCCTTTATTCCCCTAGAGGAAGTGGCCCATTAAAGAACCTCAGCCCGGTCCTTCTGCTGGGAGCTGGCTGGTTGGATCCATTGCTTTCCCTCATAGGGGGAGGGGAAACCAGGATATGGACAGCCTGTGAAAGGGGACAGGCTGCTTTGTTCAAAGCACCATCCTCCTCACAGGCGCGAAGTGCTTTACAGTTTGCAAAGCACACCAGAATTTCCCTTGACCCTCATAACACCCCTGGTGAAGTGAAGAGGAAGCAGGGATTGCTGTTCCCATTTTACAGGTCCAGGCCCAGGGAGGGGGAGTAATAACTCACCCAGAGTCACACAGCATGTCAACAGCCAAGATGAAACTAGAAGCAAGGGAGGAGACAAGCAGGACCCAAGAAAGGGCTGGCCCAAAAAAGGCCAGGGCAGGAAAGCCTCTCTCTTTCCATAGTGGGCACAAAAAAGGCCTTGCCTTTTCTCTGAAGCTTCAAACAAGCCTGGGGCTGCCACAGGGGACAGCCTGTCTAATGCTGGGTCACCAGGGGGTGGGGAGGGGAGGCGAGTGGTTGATACTGGCTCAGGCCCCTGGGGCCACAGTTTTCAGCTACCTCTGATGCCAGGGGGCAGACATCTGGGCTCTCGCCCGGTGGCAGTTGGAATCTGTGCCCCCAGGGAGCAGACGAGAGAGGCTGGGCCCGCCCCAAGAGGCCTTGAAGGCACATTTCAAACAGATCCTTCAGAAGCCACCTTCGTTTCAGACAGAGCAGGGTTTGCTGGCTTCTCTCCTGAGGCTCCTCCTGGCAGGGCTTCATACAATTCAGTTAAGCAAATACCCCTCAGCTCCCTACCTGAGCTTATGGAAGGGCTGGGGCCTGGGCCCAGGGGGAGACCCAGAGATGGGCATGTATCCAAAAGGAGCTCCAGATGGAGGAGGGGGCTCAGGCTAGGAGACAAGGCAATAAGATAAAGACAGCCAAAAGGCAGGGGTTAAACTCTGAAGGGACTTTGAGGCACAGCCACTGGGCATTAGGGAAGGCTTCCCTGAGGAGATGGCGTTTGAGCTGGGTTTTGTAGTATATGTAGGGTTTCCGAGTGAAGGTTTCTCTGTGTGTGTATGTGTATGTGTGTGTGTGTGTGTGTGTGTGTGTGGTGTGTGTGTGTGTGTGTGTGCACACTGGGGAGCTTGATAGAGCCAAGAAGACAAGCAAAAGTCTGGAGGTGGAGCAGCCTGATGTGGGGGCCAGGAAGTCAATACATGTAAGGTGGCTAATGGGAAGGGAGGATGGGTCAGGCTAGGAACAGCCTTGAAAAGTAAGTCCAGGAGTTGGGACTGCTCTTGCTAAGGGAGGAGAAAGTCAGATCTCAGTAGGGGGTGACTTATTATCTGGGGACAGCTTGGGTGTGGACCTGAAGTGGAGGGGGAACAGACTGATCCTGGGAGGCACAGAGAGGCTTGGGTTCAGACACAGATTGGAATCCAAGTTCTCCTTCTAACATGCTGTGTGACTTGGGCACATCCCTTGACCTCTCTGAGCAACCATTCCCTGGTCTGTGACATGAGAATGTGCATCCTTGCCTAGCTCCCGGGCGGCTATGGGAAGGGAAGTGGTGCAGACGGATGGGAAAGGGCTGTACAAACTGTAGAGGGCTGGGTCCCCCACACCATAGCAGCACTCCACGAAGAATGAGCAGGTTGCAGTTCCTGAGAGTGAGGGGTGGTGAAGCCCCACCACGACCGCCCCCCTCCTGCCACTGTTCCTTTCCCAATGACATCTGTCTGGGAGAAATTTAAAATTTAAAACGGGCAGGCCCATTATTTCTTCTCCTTGGCGAGCAGGGCCTCCTCATTTTGCCTGCTTGCCCCAGTTCCCTGGCGCTTGGCCTAGGGCAGCCCCAGGGCAGCCCCTCCACTTCAGCTTCCCTTCTCCAGCCTCATCTCTGGCCAGCCCTGGCGCTCTGCGCTCACCCCCTTCTGGGACACAGCCCTAGGCACCCTCCAAGCCCTCCTCCCCTGCCCCTGAAGAGGCGGCAGGAAGTATGGAACGAAACAGCTCTGGAGTGCACAGACTAGGGTTCAAATCCCAGCAGAGCTGAGTGGCCTCAGGCAGGAGTCAACCCTCTCTGAGCCTCCCTCTCCTTGACTGTGAAAGCTGAAGAATCACAATACTGGGCATCTTACACTAGACGAATATTTACTGATCCCTCCTGTATGCGGGGATTCTGGCTAAAACCTGATGATTCAGAGATCGAGCGGGTCAGGTCCTGGTCCTGAAGCTCAGATTACCCAAGCGAGGTGCCTCACGCAAGATCGCTGCCAGAGTGGGGACTTAGTAACAGGTTAATATGCCCATTACAGAAGTGATGAAAATGAGGTTCATCTAGGGGTGTGATTTGTCTGTGGGCACACAACGAACTAAAGGGCCAGTCTCACGACCCCTTCCCCTCCGCACACATGTGCACCAGGGGTCTCTGCTGTGGGGGCCACCCACCCGCATCCAGAGTTCAAGCCTCGGTGTAGGAAGGAAAAGAGGAGCGCGCCCGCCCGGAGCCTCCCAAGCCTCACGTGGGTGCGCCCCAAACTCCAGCTCCCGCGCTCGGCGCGCCCACCCCGCCGGCTGGATCGGCCATCGCCTCGCCAGCCGCGCGGGCCCACGTCCCCGCGTCCCGGGCCCGCGCGTACCTGCGGCTTCTCGCGTGGCGGGTCTTCAAGTTGGGAAGCGCCGCCCACGGTCTTCCACCGGTCGTTGACCATCTTCCGGCAGGACTGGAGGGGGCGCCGGGCGAGGCGCGCCGCTGCAGAGCGCAAAGGCGCCGAGTGGGCGCAGGCTTGGGGCGGCCCGGGCGTGCAGGCACGCGGGTGCGGGTGTGTGTGAGTGTGTGAGTGTGCCGGTGTGTGCCCGGCTGTGAGTGCGGGGGACAGCGGGAGCGGGAGCGCGAGAGCCGCCAGCCGGCCGCCCGCCCGCCCGCCGCTCGCGCTGTGCGCGGTCCCCGCTCTCCGCTCCCGCGCCTTCCCCTGCGCGCTCCTCTTCCTCCCTCCCTCTCTCGTCTCCCTCCCTCCCTTCTTCTCAATCTCGGTGTCTTTTTTTGTCTCGGACTCTCTTTGCCTTTTATTTCTCTCTCGGTCTCCCCACCACGCTCACACACACGCACCCCCCCCCCCCCGCAGGCTGAGTTAAACTCCACCTCCAAAAATGTCAGGATAAAGGGAGCAGAACACTGACCTCAACACACCAGATAGCCCAGGAGGGCAGCAAACAGCCGTCGCCGACCCGGATCTCGCCGGCTCCGGGGCGGCGGGGGCTGAAACCCCCGGCGACGCCTCTGCACAAACTTCCTCCCGAGCTCGACTCGCGCCGCGCTCCTCCTGGCTTCCTCCGTGCTCAGGGCGCAGTGCTCACTCCGAGACTAAGGCTGGACAGCGGAGGTGAGACGGCGGCGGCACGCCCCCTGTGGGTCTCAGAGGTCTCACTCCCACACCGGACAAGTGCGCACAGCCTGGAAGCTTCCAGCCCCTGGGGACCTCCTCCCACCGGGCCCTAGCTCTGGGAGCAGCCGGGCCCGCGTCCCTAGACCTGCGCCCTGGCGCACGCGGACGGAGAGCCCTCCCTATGCCTCCCTGCCCAGCCAGCCCGCGGACCGAATGGGGGACCCCTAGCCGCCGCAAGAGCGCTACGCGCTCTGCCCGCGCTCCTGGCCGCTCGCCCGGGTTCCCCAGGCGCGCTCCGCGCGGTCTCAGCCCCCGCCTCCTCCTCCGCCCCGGAGAGTACGTATTTGTGCCAGGAGGGGGCTTTTTAGTTGCCCCTCGCACCCGCATCACTTTCAAAAGCATTTAATCCGCCCGGAGCAGCCTTCGGAGGTAATTGACAAAATCCTTAATCTGCGCTGTGTTAACGAGCTGCTATTGTGGTTTCTGACCGGGAGGCGCCCACACGGCCCGACGCCGCGTTCCCGGCCGACTTCCCCTCCCCCGCCCTTTACTGCGGCCCCCTATCTTCTGCTCCCCCAGGTCCAGAATAGACACCCCCGTTCGCCGCCTCCCGCATCTCCCCAAAGCTGTTTTCCGACTCCCTGGGGCGCCTTGGCCCGCCACTCTGTTCCCTGGCACCTTCTGCGTCTGTCTCCCACCGGCTGCCAGTCTGTCGCCCCATCCTCATCCCTCTCCGGGCCCTTTTCAGCCCCGCAGCCGCGGTGCAGGCTGCCTGGGGTGGGGCGGTACCGCGCCTAGGCTGGTTGGGTTGGGTGGCCCCATGTCCTCTGAGGAAGCTGTCACCACCTGCCAGATGCTCGGTTCACTACCCTCCAGCTATTTGTCCGCAGCCCTCTCTCCCCTCGGAGGGCGTCCTGCCTGCCTCATCTCCCTCATCTGCAGCCCCAGCTCGGCTGCCCACAAAGGGGCTACCTAGGGGGAGGGAGCACTCTCTGAGAGTCAGCCGACTTGTGCCCCAGAGCTCCTTCTGTGTGGTACCTGCCCTTACCGTCTCTCACCCCCCTCCTCTTTCCTGAGCTGTAGGGCCCTCCTGCTTTGGCAGAGGGTTGTGGTGGAGAGCTCACCTCCCTGGCTCTGTGTCTAGGACAAGTGACTGCACCTCTCTGAGCCTCAGTTTCTCCATGTATACCAAAGGTTTAAGAGCACCCTCTTCAGAAGGGCTCTTCTGAGGTTCTGAGAGACTGAGTCAAACAACTCAGCACAGTGCCTGTGCAAGGTAGGAGCTCAAACTTTCCAGATTTCATGGCCTCTCTGAGACTCAGCTTCCTTCTGAAACAAGGAACAGCAGCCTCCCCTTCCCCTTACTGGCGAGCTGTGAGGTTGGCAGGCCCCTGCCCAGTGTGAGAAGCAGACACGTGGCCGGGAGACTGCAAGGCTGTGATTCCGCAGTTTGGGGAGAGGATGTAAAGGCCAAACATACCTATGCACACGCAGAAGTTTGCCCTCCACCCCTGCCTCATGAAGCCAACCGTCTAGGAGAGGAGACCGTGAGCTGAGGCACCAGGGAAGGGCCAGCGGAGGTCCTGTGTGCTGTGCTCCGGGTGGTCAGGGAAGGCATCCCGGAGGAGATGGGCATGGCCCAGAGTATGAGGGCCAGGAGTATCTGGACGGACAAGGAAAAAGGCTCTTCAGGTGTGGGGCTGCAAAGCAAAGGCAGAGAGAGGGGACAATAACATGCAAGGCGGGTGGGCAGGGTGCAAACAGAAGGACTCCCTGGAAGATCTTCTCCCAGCTCTGCAGAAGGGAGGATGGACAGGTAAGCTGGGGCCACCTAGCGGATCCTCCTGGCAGTGTTTGCTGTCCAGTCATCTCACCAGCTCAGCTGCAGTTTCCTCAGCTCTCCGGTCGGCAGGAATGTAGTGAATTTGCATTTGGGGGGTAGGGGGATGGGGGTGTTCTCACCCTGTCACCCCCTTTGTGGTGATGCCTTGCTCAGTACCCTAAGAGAAGGGTCAGCACTGACGAGGCTCTGGCATTTGCTCAGCACTTTACACCGCACTCACCTGATACACCTGGGGCATTGCCTCCAGGAGAGGAGGAAGGCTGTCTCCACTTCATGGGACTCTAGGGGGCATGGTTAAGAGGGAGTGAGATGGAATTGGATCCCAGGAGGGGATCCAATCCATTTCTACCCTCCAACTGGAGATCTGTGTGGGAGAAGATGCCATTGATCCACGGAGTGGACAGCCTCCCACCCTCTGATTTGCCTTCGGCAAGGCTGGTGGCCGCAGAGCACCTGGGATGAGCCCAGGTGTGCTCAGCAGTCTCCTCAGGGCAGGAGCAGGGCTTTCCAGCTAGCCCAAGACAGGGGTGGTCAATCTCAAGGATCAGCCAAGACCTCAGGCGAGCTGGAACCCAGAACTCTTAGGCTGCATGGAGTTGGACCTGAAGCTCCCTGGATCCTCACCTATTGTCTGCATATTCACTCACCTTCTCTCTTTAGCTTGCAGGTTCTGCACCCACCTAACTGGCCTGCCTGTGACCACCCATACATGATGGCCCCATCAACAGGCAACTCTCATCCGAGATTTTTAGTTTAAATTCCAAAAAGAAGGGCTATGATCCATCCTACTCATCATTTTGAGGTAGGACATATCAGTCAGACGTTAAAGCTGACCAGAGTTGGCTGCCTTTGTCAGGTGCCCATCCAGGTCCAATGTCAGGGGGCAGGATGTGTTACAAACACGGCTTCTGGGGTCCTGGGCCTGGCTCAGGGCACCCCTCTCCTTAGCAGGGAGCGAGTGCAGAGCAGGCAGTGAAGTGTGCCAACATTTGAGGGATGGAAAGGAAGAGAGCCAATGAAAGAGATCAGAAAAGAGCAGCGGGAGACGTTGCGTGACAACATTCAGGATGCGGGCCACTTGACCAGCTGCTATTTGTTGAGCTTCACTCCTATATTCAGCCCTGTGCTAGGCATGCCTCATCCTCCAGTGACCCTAGTAAGTGGGAGCTGTTGTTATTCCCATTTTATGGACGAGGACACTGACTCGGAAATGTAAGTTATGTAATTTGGGTAATAGTGATATATTACTAATATGATATAATTAATAGCTACCATTCAGTAAGAATTTCCCATCTGCTAGATACCGATACCATCTTATTTCACATAATCTTTACCAAAACCCTGTGGGTGTTATGAATATCCCCATTTTACAGATGAGGCAACTGAAGTTCAGAGAAGTTAAGTAATTGCCCAAGGTCACACAGCAATGAGGTCAGAATTTGAACCAGGTGTGTGCACATCTAGAACCCATCTCTCTTTCTCAAATGCCTTGATACCTCTTAGTCTGCCAGAGCCAAGCCTGAGACACCCAGCGAGCACCGCCGAGCTGATGTGCAGTGGGGCCTCAGCGAACGTGGCTCGAATGTTGAATGGGCTTGTCTCCTGTGGCCTGGGGGACTGGCTGGCTAGGAGGTCAGGATCTCTGGCCCTCATTTGCCCACCCTCTGCCCCACACTGCCAAGGGCCCTCAGCTCTCACCATAAAGCTGTTTCAACTTGTCTCTGACAGTCACATTTATCATTAAAAATAAATTTATCTTGGCTTCCCGTGGCATGGAAAGCTACTGTGCAGTGATTCAATGGGCTTGTCACCCCTCACGGTTAGGCACGGGGAGCTGAACAACTGGATGGTCTCCAACGCTAGCTCCTCATTTTCTGCGGCTGAAGCCAGAAATGTACAGTGGGCTGACATTTAATTTAGAATCCAACATACCTTGACATAAACCCATAATACAAAGGCAAGGGCGGGGGG